CTAACAGGATAGCTTTTCTGCTTAAATCTGCCAGAATTAGTTTCTAATGCTTGTAAGTAAAAACTTGACTCATGCAATAGGCCTTCTAGAGCAGTGCTCCTCAAACTTTACAGTGCAGAGAAATTACCTAGGCGTCTTATAGAAATGCAGATTCTCATTGAAATGCAGGTCTGGGATGGGGCTGGGGTTTGCATTTCTAACAAGCTCCCAGGAAATAACAGTGATTCTGGGCTGTGGTTCACCCTTTAGGTAGGAAGGATCTAGGACAGGAAAGAAGGCAGGCTGGCAGGAAAAAGCAAAAAGTAATCTGTTTTGATGTGTTCTCATTAAGTTAGGGCAGACCAACTACTGTAACTAATAAACTTCAAAACATGCAAAGGCTCCAACACAATAGATTTGCATTCTTAATTATTTAAATTATGTAATGATACTGGCCAGGGACAGGACACTGGGAAGCTGTCCTCCATGTATTCAAGGGGCCAGGTTGATTTTGGGGGCTTGTGTATGTTGGGGGATCGCCTGCCATCCTCAGTCATGGCTTCCTAGGCCACCTTGGTTGTCCTATCTGTATTCTACCCAGATAGAAATGTAAGAGAACATAGGGAATGTCCATAAGAAATATTTTTAAATAATAAAATATTTTTATGTTTAATATAAAATAAAGGAGGGATATAGAAATCTATAAATAGTAAAAATATAGTTTATTAAATTATTATGCAGATGCTCTTGTAACCAGTACCCAGGTCAAGAAATAGAATTCTTCCAGCCTCCCTAAGATTTCCTCTGTGTGCCCCCTGCCTCCCTGTAGGAGTAACCAATTCCTGACTTTTCAGGTGTTCACTTCTTTATGTTTCTTTGTGGTTTTATCATCCTAATGTGTATCTGCAGATGATATAGTTTAGTTTTGCTCATATTTGGGGATATGTCTTTTATTCTCTTAATCTATCACATCCCCTTCCATTTCATTCTTTTGCTTATAATCCATCTGTTGAAGAGCCTGGACTGCTTGTAATGTAAGTTTCCCGCAGTTTGCATTTTGCTGATTAGATATGTGTGGGGCAGCTCCATACGTTATTCTGTCCTCCGTATTTTCTGCAAATCACCAGAGGGATCCTCAGCCTCTACCAGTTTCAGGCTTGATCCTTTTGGCAACACTATAACTGAGATCATGCCATTTCCTCAAAAGGCACATAATGTCTGGTTGTCTCTTTACTGTGATGTTTTCAACCACTGATGTCAATTCTTACATTTTTCAATTTATTAAAGGTTGCAAGTTGATGATGTGCTATCATTTTATTTTCATTTATCAAGTGGAATAAGTTTATAAATAGACTCTTTCCTCATTATCAAGAATTTCAGTTCATATAGGAAAGGTAATGTATATTCCTGATTCTTTCAAGATAAATGAATTGGTTCTTTGTCATCCTCTGGTGACCAATTGTATTTTTCTTTCTTTTTTTTCGAGTCATTAGAAACTCTTTAATTTAAATATATTTGAATATTTCATGAGTTTCAATCTACTGGAACTTTACCCTTTGTGAAGTTCAAATTGTCGAATCTGTGGCCAGGCAGGAGCCTCCTCAGTTATTTTTACCTGACCCTAGTGATAGCTCTTTGCTATCTGGATGATGAGATATTTTAGGCTTATTTGTGTATTTCCAGCCTCAAACTACCTGGAATCAGCCATTTCTCCAAGAAGCTTTTTTTTTTCAGTGAAAAGTTATATTTTAAGATGTTCATTGCTTTTGGGCTCTTCATTTTTTTTATACTCTTTCATTAGGGAAATTGTGTGTGTGTTTTCAATATAAAATATTATGTTTTCATATTGATGTTTCTACTTCACAGTTAAGATATTAGGGTTTTTCCTAAATCTCTCCTATAGTACATCTTTCTTCCACACCAATACTCCTCATTAACAAGGGCACAGGAGATGAGAAATAAACTCTCAAAAGTAATCAAAATGTACTCTAAGCACAATAAATGTTCAATATTATATAAATAAATAAATAACAATTTCATACTACCACTATAATTAAAATGGCATACATCAGTTACAATCTTTTTATATATCCTATTCACTTTCTCTTTTCATTTTTACCAATATTGTACTTTGTCTTCATTGCCAGAATATTCAAACATTTTATATTTTACTCTTTCTCATCTAACTAACATATATTATTAATTCTATAAGTAAGTATATATCTAATGCTTATTTCTGGTTCTTATCTTGGTGTTTTTCTACTTATTTTGGTGGTTAAATCTCATTCTCTATCAGATATCCCAACAAAGTCTCATGAAAATATTTTATGGCTTTTGCATACTAATCAGATTTGTTCTATGCCTTATAATCCTTGAAAATCAGTTTTGCTGGTTATAAAATTCTTACCTCACATTTTCTTCCCTTCCTTTAAAAGTCACATACTCTGTTTCCGTAAATGAGTAAGGATTTTCCCCCACCTTTTTTCCTTACAATCCAGTTATCTTGCTTGACAGTATGGGTCAGTCTTCTCTGGTACATGATATTTCAGGATATGATTTATATATATATATGTATATTTGAAAGTTTTCAAGAGTTGATACTTAGTATCCATTCTGTTTCTTGCTTAGATTTTCTTCTTCAGAGACCTCTGATAGTATATTGAATTTTCTTAGCCTATTTAAATATTTCAATATTTGTCATCCTTTCTCAGGTATGTTTTTATCACTTTTTAAAAAATTTATTTTGTATTTTAAAATTTTCCTTCTTTTCCCTTTTAATTTCTCCTGCATTTGCTTTTGGGTTTATACGTTCTTTTTTAGTCTTCTTTCTCAAAACATTTTTTTTTTGACCCTTACATTTTTTTCTGGAGTTCCATAACCTCATTCTATGATCTTTTATTTTTCTAATTTATGTCTTTCTTTCATATCTAGTATCATTTTCTTAGTGCATTTTAATTTATTTGAAATAGTATATTACAATATTAATCTTTTTTTCTGACATATCTTTCTGGTATGTTTTAAGAGTATGTAGAGATGATATTATATTCCTTATTCTCATTTTTCTTATAATAATTTCATACAAGTTTTGACCTTGATAACTTTTTTAGAAACTGAAATAATTGACATATGATATGTTATTTCAGATGGACGTTATGGTAATTAACATTTTTATACATTACAAAATGATCCCCACAATAAGTGTAGTTACCATTCACCATCTAAAGCTATCACAATATTATTGACTATATACCCTACGTTGTACATTACATCCCCATGACATTTTTTTTATAACAGGAAGTTTGTACCTCTTAATCCCCTTAAGTTGCTCATTTTTATGTGAACTCAATCTTCACTGGTGATTCAGAGAGGTTCAATGCAGATAGCTCTTTGGACTTCACAGAGCTCTCCCTGTTGTTACTTTTTGTGATATTAAAAAACATGGTGGCTTGATTGGTGAGGCAGCCTGGCTCTGCTCTTATTCCCAACTTTATCTGGACCTTTTCTTTATTTTATCTCTTTGTCCTTGTCAATTTCAATTTTGATGACACTCCAGTAGTTTCTCCTTCATGTGAGGCATTGTCCTGGAAGACAGCTATGACAGGCCAAGTGTTCACTGCCCTGTCCCCTTCAGTCCTTCTCACCATCAGCTCTGCCACTTGGTACCTTATGACTGCAGGCAAATTATTTAGCTTTCCTAAGTCCCATTTTCTTCACTTGAAAGACTGGCATAAGAATAGTTCCTCTCTTATCGTGTTGTTGTGGGGATTAAACAATATAATATGTAAAGCTCTTAGTTGAGCATCTGTGCAAATGATGTAATATGTAAAGATCTTAGCTGAGGATCTGGAATATATGAGCTTACCAATAAACAACATTATGCCCAAGCAGTAAGTTAATGCACACTGCCATGTGAGCAACTAATTAATGTGAACTATGCATAGGCTTTATTATATTTTATGTAGTGAAATGTCAAACCCAATTCACAGGTAAAACAAACTAAGTTATAGATACAAACATGCCTACTTTATTGTAAGTGCAAAAAGGAACTGAGATTTATTCAGAGTTCTTCTGACCAATAATAAATGTGTATGTATTTCCCTATCAGAAGATTTGCCCAAATACTCCTGAATAGGTATATTTGTTTTTAAAACATACACTTTGCTTACCATCTTCTCTTGTGTTTGTTTGTGTTTGGGGTGTTTTCACCCTGTATATATTCTGACAATTACAAACTAAGCAGCACTGAGATGATTGTTCAGGTACAATTTATTTTTCATTTTCATGCAGCTGCCTTGCTTCCCATTTAAACAATGTGGAAAAATGATGTGTAATTGTGGAAATTTTCATCTGTTCTTACCTTGGCAAATAATTTTAAGTACTTCTTTCTGGAGGACAGCAACTATATCATTATAGCACCTGAGCAGAAACCTATTTGAGACTGGTAGATGTTTTATGTTTCTGCCTCCAACAGATACAAACAATGGACAGAGAAAGGGCAGAGGACTGCAAAGTGGTAAAGTTTTAGGGGTGGCTTCAAGGCCAAACTCTTCATCTCAAGCTCTCCTTACTTTCTAGTTGACTTTCTAGTTGATGACTAGATTTCTCCTTTTTCTAAAGAGCCTCAGTCCATGAACTGTATCACAATTAAAAACCTCCTAAAGGAAGATATTTGGGCCAATGAAGAATGAGAGCAAATCTTTGATAAGAGAGGGCTTATAAAGTACTGAGCTACCGCCCATACATAAAACTTTCAAATGGACAAATAATGCAGTTACATCGGAACCACCTGTCATCTCTCTTGGTTTTCTTTGATATAATAAGCACTGGAAAAATTAAAAAGAGAGTTGAAATATTATTTCCATGGATAATTATTAGAGCTGGGGGTAGTTTGGAAAAAAAATCTTTATTCCCCAGATGTAATTTAATCCATATTGTTTAATGCATAATAGACTTATAACTATGAAATTCTTCTATTCCTTAATTGTCTGTGTTTCTGTTTTTTTATTTTTTTTTTAATGCAGCTTCGGAAAGCAGTGATGGATCACATATCGGATTCATTCTTGGAAACCAACGTCCCTTTGCTAGTTCTCATTGAGGCTGCAAAAAGTGGGAATGAGAAGGAGGTGAAGGAGTATGCGCAGGTTTTCCGAGAGCACGCCAACAAGCTGGTGGAGGTGAGTCAGGAGAGTCCTGCAGACTAGAATTTCCTGGTGGTCTTCATCTCTACATGTCACTCTTGGAATTTGTATAGACCATTCTTCCGTGGTTTTCCTCGAGGAAGAATGCCCTGGAACTTTCCTTTCCCTCACCTTCTGCTGATCCCATCCCTTGCAAAGGAAACAGTGATCAGAAACCTCTCCTTCCTCTATCCCACAGCTCTAAGCATGTTTTGGATCATGTCTGCTAATTTTCCAGAGCAATAGAAGCTGAAAAAAAACAGGAGAAGTAAAAGGGATGTTCCAAAGTATTGGGTACCAGTTTTGATTTGAGAAAATAGAATTAATACTGCCCAATAGAGGTCTGAACACTCTCTCCTTTTCCTCCTCCTCATCCCCTGCTCTATGCCACCCACCTAAACCCAACATATTATGAACTTGTGGAAAAAATATTGCTTCCCCCAAAGAGAGGTTGGGACTCCTAGTAGAGGTTCTTGGGGTAGTAGAGGAGTGTGGTAAGTTCAGTGTCATAAGTATATTGTACATGTTAAAGAATCTATGGAAGTTGTTTTATAAATGGAAAATTGTTTTGTGTAATATTGAAAAAATACTGTTCAAGGGAAACAAAATAAAACTAATATGATAATCAGGCTGCCTAAATCTGGGACCTGAGAGCCAACAGCCTGGTACAGGTTGGATTTAGTGATATGGGGCTAAGTAGATGTTAGAGATGTTAAACAAGAAATGTGTGGGCTAGAGAAAAAGAATCCAGGAAGGGTGACTATCCCAGTACATTTAGGGAATAATTATCAGGGCCAGGCTCTGAGCACTTAGAAACAACAAAAACAAACAACAAGACTTTGGTATATCCCCACTTTAATTCAAAATAAAATAAAATTACTCAGAATGACAGACAACTTAAATGAAAGCTAAAGGTAAGTAAGCTGCTTTGTTGTTTTCTCCAGATGGCAAAATTAAATGCTGACTGAGTTCATCAAATGTGAAATTCTCTCCATTTGTCTTAGAGTAATAGAGATGTGCTCCAATCGAGGTGGGCCTGAAACACCTGCTTAGTTTGCTCTTTGGTTGCTCTACAACGCTGTTGCCTCTGGGGCTCCAAGACACCCAGCCAGCCAGAGGCTTGCATCAAGCCCAGAGGGAGGCCCTGGTCCCCTGGGCCCTGCCTGAGCCATCACCCGGGACAGCAATCACCAATGGAGGGTGCAGAAGCCTAGGCCATGGCAGTGGAGCCCTTCAGCTTCCTACCATGACTGCAGTGTCCTGAGGCAACACCAGCCTAGATTCTAAAAAGTAGAGTTGTAATACCAAGGCATTCTCTCTGGCTCTGTCCCCACCTACAAGGCGAGTGCTCCATCACCCCTCATAGTCCACCCATGTGTCCCAAGAGTTCACCTGGCCCTTGAGGAGTAGAGAGTCTTTCCAAGGTTGGCCTTGGAAGCCTTGGCCATTCCCTCGTTTCAAGAAAGAGAAGGTAAAAAAATAGAACAGAGGTAGAGGGGAAAGGGAAGGAGGAAGAAAAGAAATAATACTGAATGAATGCTATAAAAGATTTAAACATTCATATGTAATAAAATAATGGTATTAACATACAGATCTATTATCACATGTAACTACATTGTTTACAAGATAATTGCAGAATTTATAGAAACCTTAATTAATGGTGTGCTGTAGGCATTGTGGACAAAGAAAGGACATGATTTTAAAGACGTATGATAAACATCTCCTACTTTGAGCCCTGTCAGTGTCTTTCTGTAATTCTGTGTGTAGCCTCATTTTCAGATCATACTTGAAGTTCAAACTTGATGCCTTGTGTAAGTGTGAGGCCAGGGCCAAGTAGTCCTTCTTCTCCCTCTTCTGTAATAGACCTCGGACACATCCACCTTTCCTCTTCAAACCATCGGTAGGTTCACTATAGGGGAATCCAGCCACTATGGGTGATCCTGGGTCCTCAGCTTGTGGCAGAACCAGGAGGCTCAGGTCAGTCCAATTCCCACGGTTTCGCAAATTGCTGTTTTGCTTCCCTTAGTTATTCATGTCCTCCTTGCTGGGTGGACGCTGCAGCCAGCAGCTTGTTGGGATGTCTTCGTGCCCAGGAGATGTAGGGACTAGGGTGTGGATTGGCTTCTGCTGTGAAAGATACTCGAATGGAAAGTATTTCTACAGTTTATGCCCTTCAAACTCTGCTGCAGTGTTGATGCATACATACAGAAACGGTTGGCTCACTGAGCTGAGAGTCACCCTTTTCCTAATTCTCAAAGTGTGTATGTCGAAGTAAGTACCTCTCTGGACTTTGGTGTTTGTTCATATAATTTGAAAAATTTGGTTGATATGTTGATTTTATATCCATTGGTGATGATAAATTCACTTACTAATTCCACAGTTTGTATCTGTTTGGATTTTCTATGTACTTAATCATGTTGTCTGCAACTTAGGACAATTTTATTTCTTCTCTTATCCTTATGCCTTGTTTTTTCATCTCTTTATTGCATTAGCTGTGACCATCAGTACAATATTGTTATTTTTGTTACTTCTAGATCTCAGAACATTTTAATATTTCACCATAAATTATATTGTTTTAGGTTTTTTGCAGATATAATATCAATTAATTTAGTCATCTTTTATTACTCATTTGCTAAGATCTTTTTTTATCATGAATACATATAGAGTTGTATCATATCAAACAAATTTTCTGCACATTTTGGGGCAATTGTATGATTTTTGTCTCCTTTATTCTCCTTCCTAGGTGCTGGTATCAAAATTATGCTTTCACTCAAAACACTTATAAGGAATTATTCCTTTTCTTTTTGGAAGTGAATGTGTAAGACTGGCATTACCTGTTTCTCAAATATTTGGAGGAATTCACTGATACAGCATTCAGATCCTGGGCATTTGCTTGAGGAAAGTTTTAAGAATTACTGATTTCAATTCTGTTTTATTAAACATAAGATCATTTAAATTTTCTATTTCTGGTTGAGTCAGCTTTGATAAGTTGAGTTTAGGAGTTTGTTATTTTCTTATCATATCAAACAAATTTTCTGCACATTTTGGGGCAATTGTATGATTTTTGTCTCCTTTATTCTCCTTCCTAGGTGCTGGTATCAAAATTATGCTTTCACTCAAAACACTTATAAGGAATTATTCCTTTTCTTTTTGGAAGTGAATTTGTAAGACTGGCATTACCTGTTTCTCAAATATTTGGAGGAATTCACTGATACAGCATTCAGATCCTGGGCATTTGCTTGAGGAAAGTTTTAAGAATTCTGTTTTAAGATCTCTGTTTTATTAAACTTAAGATCATTTAAATTTTCTATTTCTGGTTGAGTCAGCTTTGATAAGTTGAGTTTAGGAGTTTGTTATTTTCATTTATTTTTTCTACTTTTTCAGTATCTGATTGTCCATGATATCCTTTTACTATTTTTTTTAAATGTGTGAGGATCTGGACTACTCTTTTCTTTCTATTTCTTTTTTTTTTTTTCACTCCTCATATTACTAATGGGTCTCTTTTTTTCTTGATTAGCTTTATAAGTTGTTTATCAATTTAATAATATTTTCTAAAACAGCTTTCAGCTCTGTAGATTTTCATTGTATTTTATTTACTTATGCTCTTATCTTTATGTATTTTTTCTGCTTTCTTCTGGTATGACTTACTATTTATCTAACTTTTAAAAATGAATAATTACAGTATTGATTTTTAGCCTTTCTTATTTTAGTAATATATGCATTTAAGGTTAAATTTCTCCCTAAACCATGCTTGTGTCTAGTTATTTTCTATTGACCTAATTTTCAGCTCGTTCATCCCATCTCCAACTGTGTCCAATATGCTTAAAACTGATCTATTGAGTTCAATTACTTTTTTTCTTTTTAAAGAATTTCTACTTGATCCTTTTTTATGTTTGGTTGGTTGATTCCAGTTTTCTGGTAAAATTCATTATCAGGTCATCTCCCTTAAAATGTATATATTAATCTTTTTTTTTTAAGTCCAAGTCACAGAATTCTAGTGTTTGGAGCAATTTTGTTTCTGTTGTGTGGTTGCCCCAGAAAGGGCAACCTTCCATGTCTACATATAAAAATGGCTTGGATTTTGAGACTGGTGATGCAAGACACCAATTGAGAGGATTTGAAAAGGTTTATTACTCACATAAAGGACTTTCTAGGGAGAGCAGAGCAGGTCTCCAAGCCAGTCCACAGTGGCTTCAGCAAAAAGAACAAGTTCTTTTGTTTTTTATCATGTCAATGGCTATGTGTGACTTAAGAGACAAAGAAGTCAAAACTTAGTTTTGGGGAGGAAAGCTGTGATAAAGGCCAGTCTTTGCCCCCAGCTTCTCAATGGGACCTGAGTTCCACCCAGCTCCCTTGGCTGTCCTGGACTCCAGGTTTTGCCTCCCCAGCCCTATGAAACTGCTGTAAACTCTCAAGAACTCGCTTCATTTCCACAGCTACCTTCTATATAGTGTCTCAATTTCTTTTTCAGCACTAAGAATTAGCAAATCCTTGGGTAGAGAAGCGACATGCAGAAAACTGGGCTCCCCACAGTGAGCATCCCTTTCTGAGCCTAAGTTATGCCTTCTTTGGCAGCTGCCCCACACTCTCCAAGAAATTATTTTTATTCTGTATTTCTAGTTTATTTCAACAGGAGAGTGGGTCTCTATTGGCTATTCCTTCATGGTTAGAAGTGAAAAATCCCTAAGAGCTGATTTAGATAAGTTTGTGTGGTTGTTTGTTGTTAATATTTTGAGTCAGAGATCTCATTATTCAATGGAAACATTGAGCTTCTATCCCTCAAATAAACCAGAAGTCAGTAAAAAGAGATCTAACTCAACTGAAATAGTGATCTTGGAACCCTGACCATTTTCTGCAGTCCCTTCACTAACCACCTCCTCCCATCAGTTGTTTGAGAACTGATGAATCACTAAGTTGTCATTAATGTTACTAGTGTAAGAATTCTATATCAGATCATTTTGAGTGATGAATGATTGAATGCATGAAATAATCTATGA